AAAAAACAGATATACACTTTGATATACCGAAGATATACATATAACAAAAAAAAAAAAACCGAAAATATACTGTACATATACTCCAAAATAAATGAAACAAAAAAAAAATCTCAGAAATCATCTTCTTCAACCTCCCGCAACTTCTCAGAAATATACTCCCTCCCTGTCCTAAGATCCGAATTCTCCTCTCCTCCACCTCCCGGCGTCAGCACCCTTCCAATCTCCCGCAGCGGTAGCGGCTTCAATCTCCGGCAGCGGCTTCACGGCTTCAATTTCATTTTTTTTTTATTAGTAACAGCCGCCCAGCGGCAGCAGCTCCTAGCCGCGCGAATTTCGGCGGACAGCCTCAATGGCAGTAACGGCGGCGGGAAGAGGTCGGGGACCTCAATTCCCAGAATATTGACTTCGAAGAACACAATAAAAATATTCTAAACGGAGAGGGAGGGAGACGAAGACGAAGCGAGAGGGAAAGAGAGATCGAGAGAATTGCGATAGAGGGGAAAGAGAGCGAAAGAGCGAGACGGAGAGGTTTTTTTTTTCTTCTGCAAAATATTCTCGTTTCCCGAATTGTTGCGAGAAAAAATGAAACGTCCTTATCGGTTTAATCTTCATTAATTATCGGATAATGGATATAACTGCAACACCATTAGTTTAGGTAAATTAGCAATATTTTATGATATTTTTGGTGATTGTATAATTATTCAACTAATGGTGGTAGATTTATAATATTTTATGATATTTAAACAAAGGCGGGCCGGCCCGCGCGGGATGGTCCGTTTAGGCCCGCTCCCAAGCGGGCCTCTAATATCCTAGCCCGGCTCACTATTTTGGCGGTGCGGGGCGGGCCGGCCCGCGGGCTCGGCCTGTTTTGACAAATCTAATTATTTGTCCACCTGCAAGCGGTTCAAACTTCAAATTAGACATCCACCCGATCGACCGGCCCTCTTTATTTCATTTTCGTGTAGTGGTGCACCGAAAAACAATAATAAATCGTATAAGTTAAAATAGATAATAACATTAATTAATATAATAAATAACTTGAATATTAATGTTAGATTTTTTTATTTTTAATTTTTTTATAATATCTCTTTTCCTTTTCTTTTATAATTAAAAAAATGAAAAATTACCATATTTAAGTATTATCAGTAGATAATACCTACAAAAATATTTTTTTTCTCTCTCCCTTACTCATACTACATCAATATCTATATCTATATTAATATAAAAAGGTTGTTGAAAAATACATAAATACTAACTTTGACTTTTTAGTTAAATGTTGGACTTATTATTATAAGAACGTATTTAAAAACACATGAAATTAGGAAAAAAAAGGAGCAAATCAATTTCATATACTGCTTTTTAAGAGAAAAAAAAAATGGGTGAATATTTTAAAAATGGATGTTACCTTACAAAAAAATTGACCTTTATTTTACATAGCAATATACCATTCCAATATTCACCATAAGTTAATGCGAATATGAAAAAATATTATCAAATATACTTATCTATTACTTAATGAGAAATTTTAATTTATAAATATTAATAAATATACTTTGACTTTTTAATTAAATGTCTAACTTACTATTGTAAGAATGTTTTTAAAAACACATGAAATTAGGGGGAAAAAAGAGCAAACCAATTTTATATACTGTCTTTTAGGAAAAAACGGGTGCATATTTTAAAAGTGGATGTTTCCTTATAAAAAATTTTACCTTTATTTTACCTGGCAATATATCAGTCCAATATTCACCATAAGTTAATGTGAATATGAAAAAATATTATCAAATATACTTATCTATTCTTTAATGAAAAATTCTAATTTATAAATATTAATAAATATTTTTTACTCGTGAATTGCACGGGATTCGTACTAGTATATATGAAGAGAGAACCTATTTAATAAAAATAATAACGAAAAGGTCAACTGCATTTATTGCATTCTATTTTTGGCAGTTTTTGAATTTTTTTGTAAATTATTTCCAAAAAATTGATTAGTTATATACGCACACTAAATTTATGAGTTTTGTGGATTTAATTATGTAAATTTCGACTGATCGTAACAATTTTGTAAAAGTTAAAATTCTTTCTCATTTTTTATTAAAAAAAGTATTACCCTAAAATCGGAAATTTCGAATTAGACAAAATACTATCATATATATCTTTTCATAATTGCAACAGATCAATAGTTTATTAAGAAAATCGAATTGCATAGAAATCACATTTATTTAGGTAAAATTCGGCATGACAATTTTGTAAAAGTCAAAAAATTCTATCATTTTACATTAAAAAATATTTTTTACCATTAAAATCGGGCATTTCGAATTAGGCAAAATACTATAACATGTATATTTACCTAATTGCAACAGATCATGTTTATGAAAAAAAAAATTAGATTGCATAGAAATCGAGTCCAATTTCAAATTGAAAAATAAAATTTAAAAATCTCTTATCATTTGCTACTACTTTCTTTAGTTCGGGTTTTTTTTAACATAAAACATAGTCATATAATATTAATTTGAAATTCAAAATGAAACCGGATTGGAACATCCTAAAAATTTAGGTTTTGTTTACCTTTCCTTAAATTATGTGATTAACAATTTTAAAATAATATGGCTATATATTATCAAGAAAAGCGTTTTACAATCTCCGTTATATTTGGTTACGCAATCTTCATAATACCAATATAAATCATATCATATATATCTTGCTAAATAATTTAATTAATTTATTTAAGCCTCTCTAGAATCCTAATATAATTTGTGGATGTACATACCAAAAGACCAAATAAATAATATTGTGTACAAGGATGTGTTGAATAATATATAAGTTACATTTTATTTTATTCCAATACATGCGTTTTCCGTTCTTCCAATCATTCAATCATCCAAATTTAAATGTATGCCTTAATAAAACTAGCTTGTGTGTCGCACGGGTACCGCAATAGTACCCTATAACAATATATTATATTAATTCCTAAATAAATGATGGTAAAGTTGAAAAATTGCGACAAATATTATAAACTGACACTTAATTTAAAACAATATATTGTATATTATTTTAAATTTTTAAAATACTAAATACAATCTGAATCCAAAGATGCAGTCACCACCTGAACACTAAATAAGTAACATTTGTGCTAATCATCCAACAGTTAGAACCAAACTTAATCCTCCCACGTAAATACGAGTTGGCATTCTACAGATTGTCGATGAAAAGACTGGATTATCTCAAGCGAGTTGAGTCTTGTCTCGGGAGGATTGCCGTCAGCATTTCCCAAAATGAACTGCTAGACTTCCAACTCATCATCTGTCCACCCGAACTCATCGATTACAACAATTTTGAGAGAATAGAGAAGGCAAGCACATTGTCCCTCCATAAGTTCTGACCACCTTTTCAGGTTGTCATAACCCTGTGAATAGCAACGATTAGCCAAAAACTCCTTAAAGAAAATATTGATAGTAGACGGAAAAGAAATTATGAAGAGCAAAAAGCTTCAAATAATTTAATATTCTGCTGGCAAACCTTATGGATAATAAGAACTTCAAGGTTTTCCGCGCTCTTAAAGATCTTCAGGATAATACGCCAACCAGTAGCTAGTTCGAGGCTGACTAAATTGCTAAACGTCACGTATAACTGAGCAGCAGGAAGGTCTTAAAATTGCAGAGAAATAAAAGGGTCAAAAGTCAAAACTAGACACATGAGAACAATTTGTGATGGCTGTTATACAAGAACTCCACGATTAATAATAAAAATAATAATTTGCAGTTCAAAAAAATCATACGATTTTAGAAATTGGTTTCAATGGGAAAAATTAAAGATTCTAATACGTATTTCCTCAACTGAACCCGACAATTTGAGCCTCCTCACAACAGACAGTCTCTGCATAAAGCACAACACACCGACAACACAGAGGATCTCATTCTCTTGAAACATGTAATTGTTGAAGCTAATATCTGCCTCGGCCAAGTAATTGGCCACCCGTCTAAACCCAATCCGCAAGTACGAGCACTCGTTCACCTTAAGACACCTCAGCCCAGGAGCATCCACGAGCACCAAGCAATTTACATTGTCAAACAAGAGTTTGAGCTCGAGACTCCTCAACGAGGCCGAGGCCACAATCAATTGGTCCAAAGCATTCGCGATCCCACTGACGGTCAACTTCTCGAGGACCTGACACCCCTCAAGCAGCCAAGGAAGGGTAAAATTAACCTCGTACTGAACCAAACATAGGTAGAGTGTCTTGAGGCTGGGCAAGGATATGGGTTCGGTGAAAGTGGGCAGCGCGCAAATTTCGAGCCTCAAGTTGACCAAAGTTTGGCTCGTAAAGAGGCATTTCGGCAATTTGACCATAATTTCGGAGTCCAAATTGAGTTTAATGCTTTTGACGTTGCGTTCGAGGAGGACGAGCGTGATCCAGTTCTCGAGCTCGGATTCTGTGAAATCCGTCGAGTTCTCTTGGTAGAGGGAAAAGGATTCGAGGACCGACGCCTCGTGGAGCGACAGGACGTGGTCAACTATTGCGGGGAAATTCGGATGATGGGTCCCACTGTGGAGATCTAGGGTTGGGACGTGGGCCCAAAGGGTTCTCCATCTCTTGGAGAGGGTACTCGTTACATCAGACTGTTTGGTGGGTAGAAAGGAGAGGATGAGGTAGATGATGTGGTCTGGGAGTTGACTTATGAAGTTGGGCATGGCCTGCGTTACGCTGCCATGTGTGCTTGATTCTGCCATCGGGGTTCTCTCCATGAATCTCTTCCACCTCAAAGCAACAAGAATTCTATTCAAAATAAAAGGAACAATGAGCTCTCATCCATGCATAATTGTTTACTGAAAATACTATAGGATACAAGAATATAAGTTTGGTCTGAATGATGATTAGGTTCAGATCATCAAAGCATACAATACATTCCAACTATTTTCACATAATCGTGACGACCATGTTCAAACTATCCAAGATTTTCGCTAGCTTGAAAGCCAACATAAAGAGACAAACAAATGACAAGCTTCATATAATCATTAAATCACTTAATATCAAATGAAAAACTTTAGTTTCTTTTTATTTATTGTCGTGGATGATGATCATGTTAATTCATTAAAACACACCAAAATAGCAAACAACATTTATATCTTGGTTCGCCGAGTTATCCAATTAGATTGATTCGCTTACTCTTTAAAGTCTTAATTACTCATTTACTCTTTCAGCAACTCTGGAGATCAAGGATTTTCAATGGGCTATTTTAAGGGCTGAAAGCATAGACTCAATGTATCTTGCCACAAAAGTAGTTCTAAATTTTGACATAACATATGAAAACATATAAAATACAACAATGACAAAAGGATTAACCTAAATCTGGCAGGCACAGATCGGCAGCAACAAAAGCTTTGGTGACAAACAACAACGGCTATGAGAGCGAGGGTTAAGGCAAACAGCGGAGATAGCTAGGTCAAGATGTAATGGTGCTACTTATATTACCATTAGTGACGTAGCTTAATTGCTTTATTGCCAATATTTTTTCAAGTGGCCACTATCTGATTGTTTGATAGTATCAATCCAAAAGGCTATTAGCGATGGCATAATCGAATCAAATCCCTTTAATTTTTTACTTTTTATAAAATGTAATCACAAAGTAAGACGCATAAACAAATGCAATGTGATGACTTTAAAGATTTTTGTGATGTTTGAGATATATTTCCCTGGTGTTCATGTCTTCAAGATTGCAGAAAATATATCATACTATATATCATTCTCTTGCCATGAACCTCCTCATTATTATTGTATAGAAGACTGTTGCAATAAAAACCTCACCGAAAATAAGAATTTCATGGATACCAGAACTTTTGAGTAATTTCACGATAAAAAATCTATCAAAAACACATTCAAGTTATAAATTCCATTAAATCATATGATATTCTAATATATATTACTTTGATCAGACAATTCCATCCGCAAACATTAGCATCAATATAATACGCAATTAGGTATCCAAGTTAGAACATTGTACCTCCACATTCAGTACTAAACTGGGTCGAATCAATCCACACAGACCCCCAATCTTCTAGGTCGGATGATGGTTGAAATGTGCCGAATTACGTCATTCGGCAAGGTGCAGTTCAGCATAGTGATCCACAAGTGATATGAGCAGCAAAAGGTGAAGAATTTTTCCTACCAAAACAAAGCAATCTAACCCATAAGCTATTGAAATAACTGATATGCTAACTAACATCAATTTCAAATGAAAACCAACATTCCCCACTCATTGTTTAACCCAACAAAAAAAAAAAA